CAGTAGAATTGTTTATTAGTTGAATACATGTAAGGAGCAACCCAGAAACTGCTTTAGATTACATCCGTTCAATGTATTTCACTGGATCTATTCATATTTGCTTTTTACATGTTAAACACGATTTACACTGCGTTATTTGTGTTAAAAGTGATATGAATATATATTGAATGAATCATTTATGATTTCTCTTGTTCTTAATGTTTCACAAATTTAAAATTTTTTATGCAATAATGAGATTTCTGATAAACAGCGCGAGTTTGGTTGCTGTATGTGCGACTTTCGGCATCTGTAATTGCTACGTTTGGCTTCTGTTCTGTTTCATAAGGCGCGACGTTTTACTGCTGTTTCATTGCTTTCCAGTAAAACACCTAATATCTTCATTACTGACACATTAGAGAGTGCAGCGTCCTTGAATACGTCCCAAAAACATATACCTCCAGTCCTTGACTACTTGTTTCATAAATAAAGCTTGTATCAAATATTTAATGTGTATTCCTCCCCCCCCCCCAACATAAATTGTTCTATTATATGATTAAATTTAAAGGATAAAAAAAATGCAGAATTCACTCTGGATAGTATATATTGGATATCATTCTTTAATAATAAGCTTTTTCACTAAAATATGCTATATGTTCATTAAAGCTCTATCCCATAGTTCAAATTTAATCATGTTAGTCTACCAAGAACTTAAGATTTAAAACTTTAAATGTAGAAGAAACGTTAAAAAAAAAACTCGGACCCCCCCCCCCCCGGAAAAAAAATATATTGACCTCTCTTAAATGAGAGACATGTATTTGAAGGAAATAGGCGTTTATACAAGTAAATATTTTAACTTTGTTTTTCACTCCCTGGATAGTTTTTATGGCATCGGCAGGAATTAAGTATGTCCGATAATTAACTTGTATGAAATATTTTCATATATCAACAAAATATATTATTGTATTTGAATGGCATAAATAGACCTGTATACTAGTATTTATTAAACAAGCTGACCAGTGACTTTTTTTATATTATTGGAGGAAAAATGAGGGTCGCAGGTGATTGATAACCCAACAAAAATAAACCGTCCAGTCTCTGCAGAAAAGTAGTTTTATGGTTTTAGACTAGACAATTCACAGGTGCCAATAGTAGCGAGTGTCCGAAGCCAAGATTTTCTCGATTCGCACTTTACCAGCAGTGAATTTGGGCGTCTTGAGATTAATGCGCTCAGGACAACAAATACCCGTGGAGCTCAGTACATCTCATAATCTGCACACAAAAAAGCTTTCGATTTGCTTTATATTTTTCATAATGTTGAAAGCACATGCATCTTTCTAATATTCATTCCCAGCACAACAGAATTGTAAAGGGTCGCAGGTGATTGATAACCCAACAAAAATAAACCGTCCAGTCTCTGCAGAAAAGTAGTTTTATGGTTTTATGTTTAAATACTTGACTATAAAGATCAATAAAACCATAACGCTAGATACAGTTCTGCAGCTAGGAAGAACAGTATAATTCTTGTTGTGTTGGAGACATTTCCTCAAATATTCCATTTTTCCCAGAACTGTAGCTCTCCAAAAATATATATTGACAGACGGGAGAGCTGCAGTGCCACAACTGGAATAAAAGTATAATGTTTATTGTGCACAAAAATGTGCACTGTTTCACGGTTTCAAACTGTCATATTCTCAAAATATTTCTAATTGGAAGTTCCAAATACAAGAAAATTTCTATACAATTTCCACTTATTATTTCCACATGCAACTGTTGTAAATAGCCCTTGATATGAAATTGAGACCACAGAATTTCGCATTTTTATGATGACAACAGAAAAACCAATTCAACTGAACAAGTCAACTACGAGAGTAGTTGCTAGGGGTCTTTGAACTATGTTTTTTTTTAGCTTTTGTGCAGTTGAGCATATCTACATGAAAAACATGAACATGAATAAAAACAAAAGCAAAAGACTATTTTCAGAAAAAAAGGATCTTGCATTCTGCGGACCTGAGATGATACAGCAAGAAAATTATTTTCATTATGTATTCACACATTGCTTTAAAAAATTGATTGCTTGATCACAACATTTGTATATGTATATATTTGTATATACCTTCACTGAAAAAATAACTAGTGAAAGTCACTGGGAAGACTAGTAAACTTACTGTCCATACAATCACTACCTCGAAAGTAGTTTTACTAGGTATTGGGTAGATTTACTAGATGATATTAGTAAATCTAAGAATTTATAAGTAACTTTCACGATGAATCTCAGGCGCGGATCCAGAAATTGTTCAAAGGGGGGGTTGAAGTATTTTTCATAAAAATAAAAATATATTGCTAACTAGACAATTCACAGGTGCCAATAGTAGCGAGTGTCCGAAGCCAAGATTTTCTCGATTCGCACTTTACCAGCAGTGAATTTGGGCGTCTTGAGATTAATGCGCTCAGGACAACAAATACCCGTGGAGCTCAGTACATCTCATAATCTGCACACAAAAAAGCGTTCGATTTGCTTTATATTTTTCATAATGTTGAAAGCACATGCATCTTTCTAATATTCATTCCCAGCACAACAGAATTGTAAAGTATATCAGAATTCGGAAATTTATAATTATTCCACATCAACACGACAAACATGAACAATTTGTAAATAAATCAAATTATACGGAAACACATTTCACACACAAACTATGATGCCATGTATAAACAAGGGATTGTCTATCGTGTCTATTTATGAATCATTAATTACTGTCACATTCAATCAAATTTATTTATGAATGTATAAATAATGTAAAGATAAAAATGTCTAAAATTTGGGCAAAAAAAACTCTTTCTCTCTCTCTCTCTCTCTCTCTCTCTCTCTCTTTTGAAAATCTTTTTTTTTATCATATATACATATTTGCCGAATATGTCTTCAACATTTTAGCAGAGACAGTGATAGTTTCAGGAATACAGCTTATGAGAGAAAATAGCTGTTGATCGTTTAATTTCGCTAAGTCATCAATATTTTACCATTTCTTGACGACTTAAAAAAAAACGGGGGGGGGGGCTAAAGGCTTCTTGACCACCTCTGACAAAACAACCTCGACTGTGTTCTACATGTGACCAAGAGACCTCTCTTTGAATGTCATGATCGGTTAAACTCGTTTATATATTTTTAATTGTAGGGAAGATTTATTCATCAAATAAAAATCATATAGGTAAACAAAAAGCAATTCTTTTCTAACACAATATGAGACTACAAGTACAATGTAACTAGAATTCATGTTTATTTTTATAACACATTTTTTCATCATAGATGAGTATTAGGAAAAGTTGTTGCCATGAGTAATAAGTATCATAGACAAAATAACTAAAAGAAAACTGTGACATATGTTCTAGAATCAATCAGATAGTGCGTTGTATTAGCATATTATAATGAAGTAAAAGATAGCGATATAAAAAAAAAATATAGAAGTTAAAGAGATAAAATTTACCCTGTCTTTCAAAAAGTATAATAAAGAAATGAAGTGGCTACAATTTTTCTGAATTTTTTTAAATGTCCAATGAGGAATTATATTCCCAAAAAGTAAGAAAAGAGTTTCCAAGGCAATTGAACACTCCATTATTTCAGTTTGTTAATTAACATGTTCATTAACGTAAAAACTATCAGAAATGTGAAAACTTGACTATGTAATTCATATTTCAATATGACTGTACCTCGATTTATATTAATTGAGAAATTCAATGTATTATAAGCTCATGAAAAGATGTACACATTTGACTTTTATTTACCCCCCCCCCCACAAAAAAAACAAAGAAAATCCTGTACGTATGACTTCTCGCTCTCAATTTTCACACAAATGCATAAAACAAAAGTAAAATAGCATATCTTGTATCGATTAAAATGCAACCAAAAAATTTACGGTGTCTTTGAATAAAAATGTCCATGCTAAATTGACATAAAAAAATATTACTCACCTTCAATAACCTATTTTCAACCTGTTTTCCCGAGGGTATTTATTTAATCTTATTTTATTTTCTTCCTTATAATAACGTTGGTATTCTATTATGGCAGAGATATACAATAATGTCTCGCTTATACTGTACTCTCTAACTGTTAGGAATAATTTATATTTCACGTGAAAGGAACGCCATACATTTTTCAGTAAAAATACATAACGCGGCGTTAGTCGTTTAATTTCTTTAAAGTTTCACATTTTGTGAATAGTGTACAAATTATAAAATTAAGTATATGGAATACTTTAATGGGAAATAAAGACAAACGAAGTGTTAAGTTATTTGTTTTCAGAAATTATATTGAAAAATAATAACGCCATTGTGACCTCATTGTTACCCCTGCAGTGTTTATCGTGTGATTTTAAACTTATTTGACAACCGTATGAATTAGGTTTAATAAAAATAAATCCACAAGAAACTGATGCAGTAACTGGCATAATGCGCCGTTGCTTTATTCTTTAGTTTTTATGGAAAGTTGCACGGAATACCCGATTTCGCGGATTCAACGATACCGTAATATCGGGTATTATACGCGATTTCACGGATAATACCCGATTTCGAGTATTCTCTCCGACCTGTTTAATTGTTATTGTTCAAGCGTGAACACTACTAATGCATAAGGATTTAATTTTGATTATTTCGTTGTTAACAAGAATTTTTATTGACTATTTGTAGAATAGCATTACTTAAACCTAAGAAGTAGAACTTAATGTCCGTGAAACCTTTAAGTAACAAAGAAATATTCTGCCACACAAAATATCTTCTTCTGTAGTAAATTATATTATCCTGCCTTCGCAGTAAACTTTTCAAATATGAGCTATAAGTTCATAAATTCTAGTTTTTGCTCATTTTTGACCCCTTTTGGTACATTACCTTGCGTATGACGCCGCGACTTAATATTTATCTAGAATAACTTATCTTATACTGCATGTTATTTTCTTTGAAATATTTGAAAAGTTCATATATAATTCATTATATATAATTCATAAAATCATTATTTCAGATGCTATGCCGTCATATGGAGATTATTGCATTAGTTGGTCAATGAAACTAGAATCTTCTCTGGGTAATGAACTAACAGACAGTGTGTGCCAGTTCTGGAAGAGGATTGATAGGCCGGCAGAAAATATGCCCTGGTTCCAAATCATTCCGCATAAAAGACAGGGTTACATGCCTCCACAAACAACAAGAGAGATTAATAGAGAGATGGAATTTCTGGGCGGGAGCATGACTTCGCCATCTAATTTTGTTAAGCACTGGGAAACAACAGCTTCTGTTGAATTCCAACAAGACAAGTCTCTGTTGCTAATTGAAGATTCAACAATGAAAATTGAAATCAGTATATCACCTGATTTCTTGCACGATTATGTTATAGTACACTTACAACGTAGTTTCGTGGCCTTTTACTTCAATGTGAAATATAGTCCAAAATTATTCTTCTCTGCTAGGCACCCGTTCATGTTTTGTAATCTAACAGAAACAAGACTATCAGCCAGTGACCTTCCATTTCAAAAATTTGGCTGGTTGAGCTGTTTTTGTCTAAAGCTAAAAAAAGAAAACCCATTGATACCCAGGATACTTTGGTATATTCAGTATGTAGGTCTATTTGTTGCGTACACTGATATGACAATTGAAGATTCTCAGCAAATGATAGAGGTTACTTTTTCTAGTTACGAAACAGCTTATGCATGGGAATCTCTTTGCTCACAGGGTTTTAAAGTTGTAGACCATTTGACACAAGCTGTTGTAAAGGAAATCACCAGTCTCCAAATCACTGCAGAAGTGTTTCACATAATGGTTGACCTAGTTGCAGAAAAGCCATTCTTTCATTTCTTTGGAGATTTGTTGGAAGCAATGGAAATGACAAAATATACTAAAAATGAAAATAAGAATGACATACCTGGTAATTTAACTTTGGTTAGACGCGCCTTGCTCACTCCAACGAAACGTGTTTTCCTGCCAAAGGAATTATTGAGTCAAAATAGAATTTTACGCCAGTATAACGAAGACTATTTTATCCGGCTTGTTTATCGTGATGAGGATTATCAAAAACTCAATGAGACTCAGTCTGGAACTTTAAACAACGTATTGGCGGACATGAAGCGAACTTTTATTGACGGATTATTATACAAAGTCGCCGTTATGAATATTTGGGATGTTCCAACAGTCAGCTTCGAGAACACAGCTTTTGGTTCTTCAGCTCGTATGATGGAATTACGGCAGACAGCATCAGACAACGAGCTGGAGATCTATCGAAAGAGAGATGTGTTGCCTCGTATGTGTCTCGCTTTGGACTCTGTTTTTCAGCGTCTCAACATACGTTGAACGTTGGGATAGATCAAGGAGAGTTACACTATGAAGCAGATATAAAAAGAAATGGGTATTGCTTCACCGACGGTATTGGAAAGATATCACGGAACCTTGCTTTAAAGGTAATAAAAGAATTTCAATGGAAAAAAAGGGAAGAATGGGTTTTAATCGAACTTTTTTAAAGAGAATTAATATACTAGTATTTAGCTATTTTTAACCTAGGTTGCGAAGAAAATGAATATGAAATACATACCGTCTGCTTTCCAAATTCGTTATGGTGGTTGTAAAGGCGTTGTTGCATTAGATCCGTCTCTTGGAGAGATTAATGTACTCGTTATAAGAGAGAGCATGAGAAAATTTCAAAGTGGATCGACAAGTCTAGAGGTGTTACAGGTTACTCGTCCAGGTATTTCTTATACATGTACATCTGATTCAATAATAAAATACTTAAGGAATTTATCTCATCTGAGCCAAAAGCTCAGGTGATTTTTTCTAATCACATTTTGTCCGTCGTCCATCTGTAAACTTTTCACATTCTCGACTTCTTCTCAAGAACCACTGAACCAATTTTAACCAAACTTAGTACATAGCATCCTTGGATAAATGGGAGTTTAAATTGTTAAAATGAAGGCCAGGTCCATTTAAACGGGGAGATAATCAAGAAAAGACAAAAATAGGGTGGGGTCATGAAAATATTCTTATCAAGAACCACTGGGCCAGAAAAGCAGATATTTAAATGGAAGCATCCTTAGGTTTTGTAAATTCTAAATTATTAACTTAATGACCCCCAGGGGTAGGGTAATAGGGAATTCAAGTTTGTCTGGGTTGTATTACAGTAACTATAAACTGAAACAGACAAAAGTAAAAATTTCAATCATTTCATTTAGTATTTGCATTTGTCTTTAATTGCAACTTTTGAAAAATATAAGCATCTTAAAACCCCAGTCACATTTCCAAAAACGACCAACGGCCGACGGGTTTTGAAGCAAAAATGGGATTCTTCGGTTGACAGTCGTCAGTTCATCGGCCGTTGTCTTGGCCGATTTTGGCCTATTTTTTTGTCGGCCGACCAATTTTGTGTCCATCGGTTCAAGTTATAATTTTTCATGCGTCGGTGGCCGAATTCTTCAAGTGCAGTTATCCGTCGACCAACCTTCGATCATCGTCCGACCATCGGCTGTCAGTTTATTAAGTCGGTCGTCCGTCGTTGGACAATAAGGGTGTTGAAAATTTCGGCCGAAGGTTAAAATCAAACTGTAGCTCAGAGCTCGATGATCGGGCGACGATTGGCCGACTTGTGAATATTAAACCTATTAAAGATACATAACACAAACAAAATTTTGATGCATGGATTGATATAAATTTTTTGAACGGAGATAACATAAACAATTAATCCGTAAGATATAAAGAAATCTTAAGTGTTCTTTGCTGCTTAGATATGCATCATTTGTCATTTTTAAGCGATTGCATACAAATTTTACACACATTTTCAACATTGAGTCACAATTTTATAAGATTCTGCCACTTTGCCTTGCAAACATTACTCACGTCACCTATCTGAATATAAATATGAAAAAAATATTGCTGATTTCTAAAGAAAAAAAGATTTTTGTGCTATTTATCCAAGTCATCGGTCTCCCTAGGAAATAATGTGACTGCTCCGTGTCGCCCGATACTGTGTCGGCCGATCCTGTTCTTTCAGCCGACAAGACCAGAAAAATTTAGTCGCCCGACCATCGGCTTAAATGTGACCTAGGCATAAGTTTTGTCTATCAAATACACTTTACATTTACTAGCCTCTTCCAAACTACGTTTAAGCTCACCTGAGCCGAAGGCTCAAGTGAGCTTTTCTGATCACATTTTGTCCGGCGTCCGTCTGTCCGTCTGTCTGTCTGTCTGTAAACTTTAAACATTTTCGTCTTCTTCTCAAGAACCGCTGGGCCAATTTCAACCAAACTTGCCGCAAAGCATCCTTGTATAAAGTGGATTCAATTTTGTGCAAATAAAGGGCCACGCCCTCATTCAAGGGGAGATAATTGAGAATTAGTGACAATTAGGTGGTATGTTTTAAAAATTTTCTTCTCAAGAACCACTGTGCCAGGAAAGATGAAATTTATGGGGAAACATTCTCAGGTAGTGTAGATTCAAGTTTGTTCAAATCATGTCCCCCGGGGGAAGGGCGGGGCCACCATGGTCGACCAAGGTTTTATATAGAAATATATAGGAAAATTCTTTAAAAATCTTCTTCTCAAGAACAGAAAAGCCATAATTGCTCATATTTATATGGAAGCATCCCCAGGTAGTGTAGATTCAAATTTGTTCAAATCATGACCCCCGGGGGTAGGGAGGGGCCACAATGGCCGACCAAAATTTTATATAGAAATATATAGGAAAATTCTTTAAAAATCTTCTTCTAAAGAACAGCAAAGCCATAATTGCTCATATTTATATGGATGCTTCCCCATGTAGTGTAGATTTAAGTTTGTTCAAATCATGACCCCCGGGGGTAGGGCGGGGCCACAATGGCCGACCAATTTTTAGGTCACCTGAGTAAACTCAGGTGACCTATTGCTATCTGTTTTCGTCCGTCGTCGTTCGTCGTGCGTCGTTCGTCGTGCGTTAACATTTGAACATTTTCAGCTTCTTCTCTGCAACCACTTAACCAATTTCAACCAAATTTGGCACAAAGCATCTATGGGTGAAGGGGAACAAAAATTGTGAATTTCATGATCCCTGCCCCCCTGGGGCCTGAGGGGTGGGGCCAAAACCACTAAAATTAATGCAATCTTTAAAAATCTTCTTCTTTACTCCTGGACATCAAGCAATCAAACTGTTTGCATGATTGTAATCAGCAATGAGTCCTCTACCAAAATTGTGAAATTCATGGCCCTGGGGTCAGGGGTTCTAGTGCTAGGGCGGGGCTAAATAAGTAGGTAGTGAAAATGCATTATTTCTTTGAAAATCTTCTTCTCTGCTCCTGGGTATTAAATAAACCAACAAAGTACATAGTAATGATGAGCAAGAGTGCCTCTACCAAAATTGTGAATTTTATGGCCCCAGGGTCAGGGGTTCTGGTGTTAGGGTGGGGCTCTATTGATTATATAGTGAAAATACATTATTTATTTGAAAATCTTCCTATCTGCTCCTGGGTATTAAATAAACTAACTAAGTACATAGTTATGATAAGCAAGAGTGCCTCTACCAAAATTATGAATTTTATGGCCCCAGGGTCAGGGGTTCTTGTTTTAGGGTGGGGCTCTAATGATTATATAGTGAATTGCATGAATTCTTTGAACATCTTATCCTTTGCTCCTGGTTAATATGCTAATGATTTTATTACATATTTAAGGCCAGGATTTATTTTATTTTCAGTTGTACAAATCCTCCGCTCAAGGTTTTGAATTTTCAGAAAAAAAATAAAACATTTTTTTCCCCGATGGTCAAATATGAGTCGGGATCGAGATTTTAAATTTACGAACTCGCACTTCCGGTTTTAAGATGAAACGGCGGGTAAATAAAGCTTTCTTGGTTTAGTGTAAAATTCATCGATACGAGTTCCATTCAAAACGTTTCACCCGTTCAAAGGACAAATAAAATGCTGACGACTTTGTTGCACAATGACTTGCTGGTGAGATAATTATGTATTCGTTTCAGAAGTATCTATATCTGTCTGTAAATTATTTTCCTCCCCCAGGTTTTAAACTGCCCGTACGTGGTAGCTATTGCATATTGCCAGCGACATTGTTTAGGTCTCTGTTATAGCTTACAGTCTAAGCATCATTCTTCAGATAAGGGTTGCTTATGCATCAGATGTAATGAATAAAACTATGGGAGAAGTTAAGTCCATTTGAGGAAGAAATGAACAATAACCTGAAGAAATAAAAAAAAATTAACTATTAAAAGGCAAGAATATACAAATATACACAGGCATGTAGTATCATTTGTATCAGCCAGAGAAATTATTTTACACTTAATTGAAAAAATATTCACCCTACTCCCCAATACTCCCTGTCTGTTTTATGATAGGAATTATAATTTTAGGCATCAAGTAAATTTTAGAACAATGTCTGCACATTCACCTAACACATATTAAAAAAATGAAGATATATTGAAAGACTTTTAAAGAATTGATTTTTTAAAATATATTTTGACCAACATCACAAAATTTATATAACTGGCCCAAACTGGCGGATGATGAAATAAGCAATTAAATGTTCTACTTTCCTATTTGTAAGCATTATGTGTCCAGTGGTAAGGAGCCTATTAGAATAGCATAAAAAAAGAATGTACAAATTGTTAATAATTGATTTATCAAATTTTTTTTTTATTTCCTTCTCCTTCGGGACTTTTTTATTCTTATGTTCATAACTAAACCTAAAGATGAAAAAAATGCTGGCCTTCTTATGAAGAGAGGGGCCTCTTTCAAAATCGATAAATTCAGGGCCACTGGGTCAGGGGTACCATGGGGGTACTTTGACTAAAAGTAAATTAATGCTTTGAAATCTGCCCTTTGATAAGCAATGGTGCCTCTTTCAAAATTTGTAAATTTTATGGCTTTTGGATTAAAACACGAACCAAATACAATCGCGGGAAAGTTGTTACATGATACTCAGGTGACCTATAAGGCCCGTGGGCCTCTTGTTTTATATAGAAATATATTAATAGGAAAATTCTTTAAAAATCTTTTTCTCAAGAACAGCAAAGCCATAATTGCTAATATTTATATGGAAGCATCCCCAGATAGAGTACAAATCATGACCCCCGGGGGTAGGGCGGGCCCACAATGGCCGACTAAAGTTTTATATAGAAATATATAGGAAAACTCTTTAAAAATCTTCTTCTCAAGAATAGCAAAGCCATAATTCTCATATATAAATGGATGCATCCTCAGGTAGTGTAGATTCAAGTTTGTTCAAATCATGACCCCCGGGGTAGGGCGTGGCCAAACTCTTGGATATAAACTTTTCAATAGTAAACCAATTTATACTTTTTCCTAGCCACAATGCTCGGGTGAGCGATGTGGCCCATGGGCCTCTTGTTTTATTTATGCATCAAATTACATTGACAGTGCCACTTCATCTTAACCGACAAGTTATAACACTGCTATCAGGACTTGGAATTCAAGATGAAATCTTCTTAGATCTTCAAGAATCGATGCTGATGGATTTATCCGATATGTTACTCTACAACGATAAAGCACTGAAAGGTTTACAACAGGTGAAGGAATATATTCATTTCTGAATATTTACATTTGCTGATGTGTTTCCCTATATAACAATGCAAATAAAATTGAAATTCAATTTTTAATGACATGCAGTTGGTCACATAATCAGATGAAAAGCAAACAGGCACGAGCCATTTGGAAAATTCCTATTGTGACGTCACACGACGTCGTAGATACGTTATGTTGCATTTTCAAGGAAAAATCTAAATAATGCATAAATTTATTTGATAACGCCTACTATAGTATGTATCAAAAAGTATTTTAAAAATATGCTTCTGTGTTCGCAATACAAAAGTATTTACGAAGAAAATCTGTTGTAAAATTATTAATACATATACACAAAGTGCAAATTAACTAAATATCGAAACTCGCGTGAACTATTTCCGTTACTCTGTAGTCTAAAATATTATACAAGTAGATGTATGATATTTAGTATCAATATTTCCAACAAATAGAAGTTATGAAATCCCGCGTATTTACTAAAATAATGTGTATTTATTCCTTTCAGTGACTAAAAATATCTACAGATAAAGCATTTTCTCGGTAGATTCATATCATCAAGTCGTTCCTGCATGAATTAAGGATTTCCATCCCTAATGGGACCAAATTCTCTACCCTTAAATGTCTGTCAAGTACATAATACTCTGATATTATATTAAAGCATTTTATAATGGAAAGGGATTGTCTGTGAGAATGTTTTAAAAATGTCATTAATTAATAAGTAGTTAATTAACAAAGATTGCATTGAAGCCTTTGGGGAAAAGCGGTTTTTTTTTTCAAAATAAAAATTCAACTAATTTGAATATCAGTAAATCCTGCGGTGGAAAGATGCATTGAGACTTTAAGAATAGAATGACAATTGAAACCAATTTTTTACCGGCTAAATGTTTTTAAATTGATTTATTATTTATTAATTTAAAAAGGGGAGATAACTCTTACCAAAGTTCAAGGTCATATATTGGGACACATCCCACTATCCATAATAATGGTAATAAATGGGAAGTATGTCTAAATAAACTGAATATTCAATGCCTACATATCTGTTATGTATTCAATTTCATTGAATTTGATCCTATTAGGGATTGAATGCCTTAAAGCCATTGGATGCTATGTTCACAATAATTGCATTAATATACAGTCACATTTTTCAGGATTATGTTTTTAATTATGTTTATTGTTTGGCTTTTATTTGTAGTTGGCGTTGGACATAAATTTCCAAGAACTCTTCGACAAGGGGATAAACTTTGTTCGAGAACCATTCTTTAGATCAATGCTTTTAAGAATATTCCAGCAGAAACTGTATGATTTGAAAAGGAGATCGAGGATTCAGATACCTTCAGACAAAGGTCGGTACATGATGGGCACATCAGATGAAACACAGTCACTAAAGTATGGTCAAGTTTTTATTCAATACTCGAAAGAACTTAATCATCCTCAAAGAAATGTAAAACTTATTCTGGGTAAAGTAGTGGTCACAAAAAATCCTTGCTTCCATCCCGGAGATATCCGGATATTTGAAGCAGTGTGTATTCCTCATCTGAGCCATATGGTAGACTGCATTGTTTTCCCTCAGCTTGGGTCGAGACCTCATCCTGACGAAATGTCAGGATCCGACCTTGATGGTGACGAGTACTTCGTATGCTGGGACGAGCGGCTTTACGCATTTGAGAATGTAGATCCAATGGACTTTCCTAAAGCAGAAAAGACTTATTTGGAGAGAGATGTTGAGTTGTCAGACATTGCTGAATTTCTGGCAAATTACATAAAGAATGATAATCTGGGAATAATAGCTAATGCTCATCTTGCTTTGGCAGACAGTGAACCGGAAGGAATATTTTCCGTTCATTGTCTTGAGTTAGCTGAAATGCACTCCGAAGCTGTTGATTTTCCAAAAACTAGGAAATGTCCACATGCGCGGAACGAAATCCGTCCAAAAAAATATCCAGATTTTATGGGGAAAAAAGATAAAATTCAGTATTTTTCTTTTAAAGTTCTTGGAAAACTTTTCCTTCAATGTCAATCATTTCTCCATAACATTGATATAGAAGAAAGACCCGATTTGCTTATTGATGATGAATTAGTTTCCTTTTTAACGGACGAAGAACTCAAGGATGCTATTTTACAAAGAACAACTTACAATGAAAACTTACAGGGAATAATGAATATGTATGGAATAGAAAATGAAGTAGAAGCAGTCAGTGGTTCCCTAAAAGCGCTGAAACGTAAAAGAGGTTGCTTAAAAGACGAAGAATTTCAGACTGGAAAAATAGTTCGGGAGAAAGTCTCATCATTAATGCAAAGAACAAGAAAAATATTCTTCGAAAAATTTGGTGGTGAGCAAAACAAAACTACTCCAGAATTCGATAAGGCTATGCGTATTAAGGCTTCTGCTTGGTACACAGTAACTTACACTTTGCCAAACCCTACATTTCTAAGTTTTCCTTGGGTTGTCGCCGATATTTTGTGCAAGATGAAGAAAAGACAGGGACAAATTGCCGCTATTGAAGAAGTTGATTTATCCCTTGAGCGTCGTTGGAACCTTAAAGAGGAAGAGCACAAAATGGCCTCTTATTGGATGGAGAGTTTAAGAAACAAAGTTATACAAAAGTTTCACAAATCCATTTACTTCGAATGGATTGATTTATTTAAGAATGGCATTGTTATACCTGAAGACTGCAATGTAGTTTTGGGATTCCAAAGTGGGGACTATGAAAAAGTTGTTTTAACAATGCAAGCTCTTTCTTCTAGTACAAGCAATGATCCATTTGAAAATGATCTTATTTACAAAATCAAGCTGGGAGGGGGTAGGATAGGAAATGTTAGACTGACAGCTGACGAAAGGATTATCAAATTGAGCAGATCTCTCGGTTGCTTTCTTAAACAGAACGAAAGTATAATAAGACACGTAGCCCAATTTTTGTACGATTATTTTATGCACCAAATTTTACCGAAAATTACCCCTGATGTCATAAAAGACCTTCTACCAATTATGCTTCTAAAGGAATCCCTTTTAAGGATGAAAAGACTGAATACTTCCTCTGAGGCACACATTCTTTTGAATTGCTTGAGAAATGTAAGGGGGTACATACAGAACATCTCCAATTGTAAGGACTTGCCTGAAGGTTCTTTAAATTGGCTGATAAGAAACTCAGAAGAAATAGTTATCCATTGCCTGGTTGAATACATGATGATAGCTCGTTGTTTATCCGTGGAATATTTAAATGAAGATGAGACATTTGAGTTTGAGGTATGGGAAACTTTCAAATTCTCAGCTGAGTCATTAAACATAATGCATTATGCCGCTGCTTATGCAAAATACAAATTGTCCGAAATTACTGGTGCAGATATGTTTTTCCATCAAGTAGAGGTTGGAAAAACTAAAGCAGTACAAATTGATGCACATGGAACAAGAGTTCAACTTTTGCGATTTCGAAAGGCCCTTTATGATTTTTTGAAAAAATCTGAAAGCATTACCACTGGCGAACGTGGACAAACTACAGTGGAAGAGACGTTTTCAGTATCATTCGAAGGTTGTTCGAATCGTGATGAGCAGTTAACTTTTGAAAGGTGGAGTGGGCCCTGCCAGAACCAACACAATAGTGAAATTCGCTATCTCCCTTGCCTTGTTCATGGATCAGAATCACCTGCATGTATTGATTTTGTAAGCACTTTTTCCAGGCAATGGGAAAAAATCAAGGATGAATATATCCCAATTTTCCATGGAAATTTATCAATAGTGCTCTCATTTGGTAATTTTTATGTTATGAACGTAGATAAACAAATGATGACAATATCAGAATTGAACGGATATTTACAAAGTTATGAAAAAAGACGGTCAGAACTTTTATCAAGAAGACAGAGAGGGGGTTTCATCCGTATTCCTTATTCATTTGCTTTTCTACCGATAAGTGGACACTACAACAACTTAAGTGAGTGTCTTAATCTAAACTTTGAGAAGATTAATTCACAAAAAGAGGTGAAAGTCAGACTTGCAAACGAGGGAATGTGTGACCTAGACGAGCATATGAATTGCATAAGATATAGTGCTCCTCAAATAAAGTGGTTGGTGCATCAAATTGTTCTCACGCCCAAACGAAGGACATGTAATGGAAATCAAATAAGTGTAAGGTGCAAAATACAGTCATATAGATCGTTGGACAGGAAAGCCATCGAATCAATGAAAGGACTCCAAGGGCTTCTTGACATTGGAAAACACGTTGTGAAGACTAATGAAGGTTATGACTAACCTCAGATGACATTAAATTCATAAGAGAAAAAGAAACAGATATTTATGAAAACAGGCACCTAAACATTCATGAGGGAGTATGGCGTTCAATGCGTGTTGAGGTGTCAAAAGTCAAGGAATATCAAGTTAGATTCCGTCAATGTACCAAACTTTCAGAAAAAACAGAGTTGGCGATTATTCCGGGTATGCTTGATATAAATTCCTCTGACGAAGAAGTGAAACATTACTCAAAGCAATTGTGGGATATTGCACTTTATTTTGGAAAACAACTTAATTGTTAGAAGACATTGTACATGTATGTGGACACAATTTTTATAATTATAATATAAACTTTAAAAACTGCACATTTCTGCTTCATTTCATGAGCAAGGTTGTTTTTGATGTGTTGTTAAATGTCACATAACAAATATTCACACAAAGAGCATGAACATTGTATCTTGTGATAATTATGTAACAGTTCTTAAAGTTGCCCAGTCAGTAAATATGTGTCCTTTAAGGTTTTCAATGTATAATGACCATATTTTGTACCAGATAAATGAATGGGCCGAAATGATTAATCATGGTAGCATTTTTAAGGTGTGATGAAATAAAATTACTCTCAAAATTTTAATTTTTTTTATCATTGTCTAATTTATTGCACGACAAATTTTATATTGACATCTATGGACATCGAATATTATATTAAGATATTATAAAACGTTATGTGAATTTCATACATATCTCTTGGTAAAAATATGCATACATTCTCTTTTTATTAAAATATGATATAAAATGAATCATATATCGCAGAACTTTCAATAGAAAATATACTGAACATTTATGCAAGATCCCAAATTTTAAAGAATGACTGCACTTAAGGACGTTTTTTCGAACCTTTTCGGCTACCCATTTTAAGCTTAACATTCGATATATCGCTTAATTAATTTATGATTAATGTGCAAGCATATGCTTTTGATATATATTTCTAGAATTTCTCGTCATACATATTTCAATAATAACATACAACGCTATTCAAAAGAACATGTTTAAGCCATAAATTCCGGGAAATTGAACTGGACCGCTTTCGATTTTAAGGTCGCAGCATTTAAATCGCATGGAAATGGATCATAAGCACATGGTTTTCCGTATTTCATTTACATTATATATATTTAAAAAAGGCGGAGAGGAGGGTTTTGTGTTCATTGTGTACAAAAAATAAATGGTTTATTACCATGCATATAATTTCATTAATTTGTATCCACGTAAGTAAGTAACGTAACTAAGTAAAGAGCAGAAAAAACAAAAAGTTAATAAAAATAAACACAATTGTAATAAACTTATTTATGCATTTTGTAAGCTTAGGTTGGTAGTGTCTGTTTTAAGAATTATTGGTAGATGAAAATTAAGAATTATTGGTAGATGAAAATGACACTGAAATACATTTTTATTTTCTGAACATAATGGACTGTCATCGCATATTATTAAATGAAAAATAATTTGCAACCTGTCTATAGGATAATCTGAAATAAGTACGCACGGTAAATCCGTATATGACCAAGCAATTTGATTATTGGCAGAGTTAATTTTCAAAAAAGTTTTGATCGGTATTCAGAGTATAAAGGACAATGCATTAAAAAAATGAATTTCGGCTGCTACATATCAAGCACTGCATAATTTTCTCTATCTAAACGTTCTTTTAAAATTGGAATGCTTAAAAATTCACTGCATACTCATGTATTATTTGCTGTCAAGCAGCGAATTAACTAAATCTTAAAATAATTATGGGCGACTTCGGTTCGTACCCGAGTACGTACTCGAGTTACTTGAGTTTCAATCGAACGACCATAGTTACTACCCAAAATTTATACGTCATATGACCTTATGAACTCTACCCAAGCTAACCCAGCCATACAGTAGGATTACTAGAGTTTCGAAATGGCGGCGTCGAAAGAAAAACCCGAACGTAGAAATTATTTTTTACTAAATATTATGTTTAGCATCGCTTATCCTTAAAAGCAAACTTCAAAACGCACTTTCTACATGAACGCTTTATAATTTATATGAATACATGTTTATTTGATTAGATTTTTCAGGCTTACAGCTCGATAACAGCAGAGACATAAATTCAAATTCGAAACCAAAAAACTTCAGAGCTGAAAAAGAAAAACATTTCAACTGCAGCAAAAGCTATAGAAAAAATTAAATCAACAGATGATGTCAAAATGGACCTATTCGATCGCCTTTTAAAACTCATAGAGGAAATTTATTTTATTTTCGCTACCCTTCAAACTCATATGAGTTCGCTTGAAAACCACATGTTTGTGTAAACATCCGGTCATGTGACGTCAACCAGGAGTTAACACTCGGGTATGAATCGAAGTCGCCCTATGTGTTCGTACCTACAGTGTATTAAAAAATGACATTTTCACTTTATCTAAATCATCTTGAATAATAATTGTGGACTTATTAGTAACCTAAAAATAAAATAAAAGTTTAATAGTGATTTTGGTGTAACCGTGGGCTCCTACCCTGACCTAGAACTGGTCGGGCTCCCGTATTCAAATTTCTGGATCCGCCGCTGCTATATGTACAGCATGTAATCATTAAAATAATACCTTTTTCTTTTAATATACCCCGAACAAAAACACTTTAGTAAAAGAAATCAACGTAAACTTTAAAACGCCAATAAAATGTACGCAAGGATCTTCAATATTTTGAAGATGGAAGTAGATATAAAAAGAATTTTCCAACGACTGACACAATGAAAGCGTATCGAACACTTGAATGTCACGTGAGAAAAGTGATTATAATATCAAAGGGGTCACATGGGCTGACACTCGTAACCTGCTAATTTAGTAGCTATCTCGAGCGAAGTTTGGGTATATATTTTTTTAAAAATTAGATATGAGCCGCAACTTGGCCAACATTTTCCTTTGAATATGTATAAGTTTTAGTTACAATACCCATTCTGTGCAAATGAGAAAAATGGCCAAGTTGCGGCTCGATGTAAACAATGTCGTTGAAAACTGGTATGCATATGAATATCAATAGCAATGAGACAAAACTGTTGGACCCCCGTTTCAAAAGCTAGTGTCGCCCGGCATTATTTAATACTTTCATGTAATATAATATACCAACACCTGCTCTTAAGATATTGTTTAATACCTATAAAACATAAATTTAATGAATTTTGGAATTTTATTTTGCGCAAAACATCGGGATCCGACTCTCATAGCTTAAGTGCAGTCATTCTTTCTAAGAGTACTTGTTTCCTCCCCTATTAAAAGATCTGTATTGTTAGTAGATTCTTGAAATGGATCATTGTTCGTTTTTTTTTCAAGTCATGAAGAGAAATTAAAACGGTACTGCAATAAAGTAATCAGCAGCAGGTATACGTCGTATGTCAGGCGTCGACATATTTGAACGATTAAGGACAATTCTTTTCAAACTAGAGGTACTGTGGGCAATGAGATCACTAAATGATACCCCCCGCCTCCCATATGAATAAAATGGCAGTGTCCATGTTTTGCTCTGGAAAATCCAAAATATATGTCAGATCAAAAAGTAAAATAGGAGTTGCACAATGGCAATATGTTATAAAGATTCTGTGAAAGTTTCATTAAATTTCCTTCAGTGGTATGAGAGGAGTTGCGGATAAGAGATGGGTACCCCAAAGCGTAAAGGACGGACGGAAAAACCGATTACTATATACCCTCCCGTAACATTTAATGATATGAATAAAATCATACAATTTTCTGTAGTTGAACTGTACATTCTTGCTTCCACATATATATATATATATATATATATATATATATATATATATATATATATATATATATATATATATATATATATATATATATATATATATAATTATAAACTAAAGATAGCCCTTTTTGTAGATTACCTACGAGACTGTTAATATGATTTAATACCAGATAGAGTTGGTTAAGAAGGAAAGTTCCTTAAGGTATTTTTTAAATCTCATCCGAAAATGCAATTTTTGAAATAAATAAATTATTCTACACAATTACTTGTTTATATTTATGATAAATGCCACTTAAATACTAGAAACGTTTCCTTAGTACACATTTTAATCATAATAACATAAAAGACACAAGAAATATTTCAAATAAGAAAGAAAAATAAAAATGTATCTTTGTATTTTTAATCATTCTAAACTGATATCATGAACATTTAATAAGGAAAAATAAATATTATGCATTTCATTTCTTTAATTGCAACACAAAAATTCCATTTGAAAAATTTATGTCCTAGAACATGAATTTTGAAGAAGTCTAAACTCCAGATAATTAAACATTTGTTTACCAGTTACCTTATTTTTAGAAAAGAACTTGTTGGAAACAGCTAATTATCATATAAATTTTTGAAATGACATCTTAAGGTCATAACTACTTATTCTATACTGTCGCTCCTTTTACTATAGTTGGAATCATTGGATTCTAAACTGTCTAGAGAACACGACTTGTTTGACGTCTTCAAACAAAGATTGGATGGTTGCGGGTCTTCTTCTTCTTCCAAGTAGAATTTAGGATGATTTAATGGCGTGTTCTCAATGTCCTCATCATATGAATCACTGTCATATGGCGTTAGGTTGTCCCTTTTCCTTTGATTATTATCCCTATATTCTTTACTCTTTCTCCTTGTTGACGCACTACTATATTCTGTTCCAGCATTGTGCTGTCTTATTTGGATTGGTGCATTACTTTTATGTGAATGTCGAACATAATCATTTGTGTATCCTTGATCATGATTTGGAGCAAATTGATCCTGTGCAGAATTTGGATAAGAGGATTCCATTCTATTGGGATAATGTGAATGAAATGGAACACGTTTTTGTTCAGTTAGTAATGGCTCCTCCAATGTGTAATGCATGAAATTATTAAAAGAATCCACATTACGGTCAGAATATTCTTGATTTATTTTACTAGGGCAAGAGTATTGATGCTCTGTCTCTCCAGGGAATATATGATGGTGCTTTTTAAGACAACTTGATCTATCCGAGGCGGGATGAGGATGGTGAGATGTATTTCCCCTGCGCATTTTGGAATGTTCCCCATGTACTGGGCAATAAGGGTTATAAATGGGGATTTCTCCATTGGATGTAGAACTTTTACTTGAATTGCTAAGATTTGTAGTGTTTTTTATAATCTCTTTTTTCAACAATGAGATTTCTTCATCTAATTCTTCCTCAGATAAGATATTTGTTTCCTCGTTGTCTATTATTTCTTTTTGTTCAGATGTCACTATCATTGTATCATTAGAACTATTAAAATTTGTATTTATTGCTAATAGGGCGTTTTCTAGTCCGGAGTCTTTGTCAATATTTACTTGTCTTAAACGTTTATGTCCCTGCAGATAAGCTGCTAACTCTTTAGATTTTTTAGGAATACAAAATATACGCACTTCCTTTCGTATATCACTTGAAATCGACCCTTTGTGTGCCTTGTCAAAATAAACACACGCTATCCTTTTATCGTCGTTTCTTTTTGAATTTAATGCAAAGGTGACACCAACATTAAACTCGTTAGATTTTGCGCCTTCTTCCGCTTTAGTATCAGATCCAGGGGTCCACAAAATAATGGCAGC